ACGCAGCAACTATAGAGAATCACCGGGATCATCCCATGACATTTTGTATAGCTGTTGCTGAAATGGCACATGCGAAAAAACCGCAACCTCTGAAATTGCTGAAATGAGCATGAATACAAGACCCCAATCACTACTGGAAAAAACTGTGCGGTCCATTGACGTCTTGTTTCAAACAAACGCATGAAATGCCAAATGAAAATCTAGAGCCAAAACGTTTCAAAGAAATAAAATGAAGATCGCGAAACGCAAAAACAACGAAACAAATACGTGCAACTGCAACGCACGTTAAGAATGCAGAGGGCAGCTTGTAAGCAGCTTCTGATCATAATTCGAAGTTTTTCTTGTAAAGTTGGAAAATGAGAATTGTCAACCATCCCGCGCAATGTGGACTTGATTAATCTTTTGGGTCAACAAGCCAACATGGTTCATTGCATGAAAACCAAGCACCCAGCACATGCTCACCAAACTTTTCTTTTAGAAAAGGCCGCTGTCGACGAAGTACTTCCATGAATTAATCATGCGGCCAAGCTTGATGCTGCGGACCTTCTGCTTCAGTGCAAGAAGTCGCTTGGCCAATGTCATCTTTCGCTCTTTCTGCGTCTTGTGGCGCAGAAAAAGCGCAATTTCTAGCAGCGGGCTGGTTTCCGCCGATCGCCGCCACTGGAGATCTTTGTCTCGACGGAAAGCTTGGCGCGCGGTCATTCTTATGACTTTCTGCGCCCAAGCCCCTGCATCGCGGCCTAAAACGATGCGCTTTGAGGGCTGCCAGACCCGGCCGAAGGGTCCGCTGCCCAACCTTTCTCCCAAGCGCTTCTCCTCCCGCCGGCGCCGATTGAAGGAAGGGAGGCCGGATGTTGCCAGGCGCCACGTGGAATTCCAGGTCGTCCTGCTGTCGGTTGGCCTCGCAGCGGTACCGCCCCTGTCCAAAAAAAAGGTGCGTGTATATATATATATATATACATACACATTACATATATATACATATGTATATATATCTATATATATCTATATATATATATACCAGTACTACTGCACAAGGCGGTGGCGGAAGTTTCAAAAATAGTAAATCTATAGGAGAGGTTGGTTGTTGTGAATCACGGATGGCAGGGCGAATCCACTGATGGACCGAAAGGTGGTTGGAGTTGTGTTTTCTGGAGTGGCTGCAATGGCTGCAGTGGTCACCTCACCACAACTGCTGGATGTAGTGTGGAGTTGTAGGTGTAGTTGTAGTTGTAGTGTGGTGGGGCTGTAGTTTGAAGTTGTAGTTGTAAAGTAGTGTAATTAGTGTATTGTAGTTGCAGTTGTAGTTGTGGTGTGGTGTAATTAGTGTAGTGCATTGTAGTGTACTGTAATGTTGTGTACTGTAGTCTAGTGTATTGTAGTGTAAAGTATATAGTGTAGTTGTAGTTGTAGTGTGGTGTTGTGTAGTGCAATGTAGTGGTAGTTGCAGTTGTGGTGTAATGTAATGTAATTAGTGTTGTGTAATGTAGTGTAGTTGTAGTTGTAGTTGTATTTGTAGCTGTAATGTACTAATTAGTGTATTGTAGTGTAATGTAGTGTAGCTGTGGTGGCGGTGGTAGTTGTAGTTGTAGTAGTTAAAGTACTTGTAGTAGTTGTAGTAGTAGTAGAAGTAGTAGAAGTAGAAGAAGTAGTAGTAGTAGTAGTAGTAGAAGTAGAAGTAGTAGTAGAAGTAGTAGTAGTAGTTGTTGTTGTTGTTGTTGTTTTGTTGTTGTTGTTGTAGTAGTTGCTGTTGTTGTAGTTGCTGTTTGCTGTTGTTGTAGTGTAATTTGTGTAGTGTAGCGTAATTAGATGTAATTAGTGTAGCGCAGTGTAATTAGTGTTGTGTAATGTAGCGTAATATATTTGTACTTGTAGTTGTAGTTGTCCCTCTATCTATTTATCTGCAAGCTTGAAAACGAAGCTATTCTGCGAGACTTCCTCAGTTTTTGAACTTGAACACATCAAAAACGCAGCAATTCTGCGAGACTTCCTCAGTTTTTGAAACTTTTTCGACATCTCAACTTCCAAAAGTGTTCCGAACCTGGTGTGCTTTGTACATTTTGACTTGGAAATGTGCTTCGCGCCACAACAGCGTGCTCTTTTTCGACATCTGAACTTCTAAAAGTGCTCCGGAGCTGAGGTGCTTCGTACATTTTGACTTGGAAATGTGCTTCGCGCCACAACGGCGTGCAACTTTTCATCTCTCATCTGACCACATGGCTTCACACCCGCCGCTTTAGCGAGCCTACTTTTCGACCCTCTGGAGCCACAAATCATTTGAAAAACACAGTGTTTCGCGACTTTCCTACCTTTTCGCGCACCTGGATCTTCTTTCTTCTCACTCCTTCTCTTTTTGATATTCTTTCTTCTTCTCTTGTCTTCTCTTCTCTTCTCTGACTCTTCCCATCTCTGCGTTTCATCTGTCCATATTGTCGGAAGTTTGACTTCTAAACTTCCTTCGGTAGATAGATAGATAGATAGATAGATAGATATATATATATATACCTATATGATTTAAAAAGCGCCACCAACTTGACACGTACAGGGCACCACCTTAAACAAACGCAATGCCCTATGAACTCTTGCCCTAAAAACACCAAATTGACAACACGGGAAAAACACCTCACCAGCCCAGTTGTTTCGTACGGGTGGCCCAGAGCATGAGGCGTGCTAGGTGCAGGACCTGGCGGCTGGAATTTTTTTCGGGCAGTCGTAGGCCGCATGGCAGAGGAACGCCAAGGCCAAGTACCCGCTCCAAGCACGCACATGGGCATCTTCGTCCTCGGCCTGGAGCACGTGCTCCTGCAAGCTCAAACCGTGAAGCTTCCCTCCGAAAAAATCCATCTGCCCTAGTAACAACTTATATAAGCCATTCTTACCATGGCGTCTCATTCAAAATTGAAAATTAGCAGAAATATTGACCTTCCTATGCCTTCATCGATCTCGAAGAAAGGAGACCGTGGTCAATGTGAATGGGATACTAAACCGCCATTTTTTCAGGGAAAAACATTCAACACTGCTGAAATACAACGGCCATTTACGCCGACCAACAAAAAACTATGCAATATGGAAGCAGACCACTCCAAGAAAACATATTTTCAAGCAACCGTTTTCGCAAAAATGTTTTGCTTTAATAAAGCAAGAAAATTCCACACATATAGAACTTATAGAACAAGGTTTGGAACATAACAGAATCACCCCTCCAATCCGGCTATGTCCTGCGCAATCTCCACGAACATGGTGGCAGTGCCGCGGACGTTGGGGGTGGGCACGTGGAGGACGTGGTTCAGGCACGCTTTTGCTCGGAACGGGTCCGGGACTCGCTCTTATGTTTCAAGCCATGCCTGTGAGTTGAAGGATCGCAACACACAAGGAATGGGTTTAGGGTCTAATACGGCTGTTGGCTTTTTGTCGTAGCACAAAGGCCCACAAGGTTTCACATATATTTGGACAAATCGCAAGATGATGCAACGCGGGCTAGCGTACGCGCGAGGTGCGCATGTGCTCAGCGCTTACTATAGGCTGCAGTAAACAAAGGCCCCAACAACTTGAAACCAAACCTTGGGCATGGGTTTACAGCCCCGCGCCTTTCGCAGCTGCTCCTGGAATCCCCGGGCCTCCGCGTAGGGTTGGTCGTGCAGGTGAGGCTCCATGGCCTCCAAGAACTTGATCACATGCCTGAAGCGAGCAGACTTGCACGCAATTAATCTGGAACCAGCACGCCGTTGGGACCAAACAGCCAGAAATCATGAAAGATTGCTTTCGCCGCAAAGGTAACGGAATCCTAGCGGAAACCATAACCAAAAAAAACTTCATGCGATTGTCAAATAGTCTGCCTCAATAAAGACAAGGCACGAGTTGGCTGAGATGGCCTAGATGTCACCATCATAGTCTCCCCCACCAAGTGCCGTAATCCCCATGCCCAACTGCGTGCATACGATGCTGTTGTTGGGGATGGCCCACCGGTGCTCCGGCCAGGGGACGGCTTCCCAAATCTCCATGTCGGTAGGGAGGAGCACCTGATTACGACACGCCCTAACCCTTGCCATTGAACACATCAGGCATTTGAAAACTAAATCATTTACCACTTTCCATCGACAATGCCCTGCCTTGATGCCCTGCCTTCGAAAGCGGGCGGGGCGATTGCTCCACCAAGGCCCTCAGATGCCATGCGCCCCCGTCAAGATGCAGCTTGGGCTTCCAGCGCTGCCCTGACAGGAAGGCCACTGTTGCGGCCACCAGAGGCATCAGCATAAGCCTGTATCAGTCTCAGCAAATGGATGGAAATCTAGAGATGTCTGTAAGGAGTGTCGTTCACTGGTTTGGAGTTTCCAAATGCACAGATACAACGAGAGCTTAAGCAACAAACCAGGGAGTTTCGCCACTCAGGGCAAAATTTGGGTAACCTTAAGTTGACCCATTGACCCGCCAAATGAAGGAAGTTGACCCATTGACCCACCAAATGAAGGTTTACCGGTTTACCCAATTGTTCGTGTTGCGAACAGCCTGCCTTGAGTGGCATCCGCCGGAAATTAACGGTGGAAACAATAATAGCATAAGCAATAAGTGAAACCAGAGAACCATGCGTCTTCGTTCTCAGCCAATCACTTGTGTTGACGGCTAATTGGCAATTGCCATCAGAGCACACTGGCAACGGGTGCCCCGATCGGCTCACTTACTGACCATGGATCAAATGCGTCAAGTACCACCCAGATAATCACTATCACCCAAGTATATAATTAGGTGGAGTGGGGGCTCTTTGGATCAGCCATGGATCATGGACCATGAGTTGGCCGTGCCTCGTCTCCAGCACTTGAGCCACCTTGTTCCTCCTGAGGAGGAGCGAACCCATATTTGAATGCCGATGTTTTTTTGCTTGAAAAGAACTGAACTGATCATTAAGGAATTTGGTTCACGAAGTTCCGAATCAAATCCTTCCCGTATTGCAATTGCTTGACCACATGTTCTCAGAAATGCCAAAGACCCACCAAAGGCAACCTTCAGGTTGGCAGGCAGCCGTCCTCCATTTCCAACACTGGGTCAGTCTCTTTGACCTCTTCTTCTTCACCTTCTTCATCTTCCTGCTCCTGCTCCTCCTCCTCCTCTTCCTCGCCTTCTTCTTCTGACCCCCCGGCACCGCCAGCCGCCGCCGCCGGATCTGGCGGCGGCGGCATCGCTGGTGGCGGGATTGGTGCCACACCATACCTCACAGGCACATAATCCATTTTGACACACCAAAAACGTCCCCAGAGTATTAGAAAATTAGTCAAATTTATTTTCTATCCGCACCATTCATTCTCACATGAATAAAAAAAACACACAGCTTTACTTGCACAACTGTTCGCTGACTCTGTTTCCATTTTGACACGGGGGAATGTCAAGTCTTTTGAAAGGCCGCTTTGTTCTCCTCAGCGGTTTTGTTTCGCCAGCAAACGAAAACGCGGGAATGTTCTTTTTATGATGACAGTAGCTAAAGAACCCTTCTATCTCTCTGTGGGAAGAAGAACGCCTAAAGCAAACCGCCCTGCCACTGCACTGCACTGAGATGTACAATGTGACATGGAAAACAATTCATGTATTATTTCTTTCGCCGTGGGAAAAAAAGATGGGCTCTTCTGCTAAGGTGCCTGCTAATGTGATGTTTAATTCACTTATAACTTATAACTAACCCACTTCTGAATGGGCTAAGTAGGGTGATCATCCACTTATAACTAGGGTGAACTACCCTCTGGTAATTTAACACTATTGAAAATGGATGAAAATGGCCCAGTCGAAAGAGCGGATTTTCTCATTAAACATGGTGGATCTTTCAATAGCTATGTAACAGTTTACCAGAGGGTAACATCCATTAGATCCCAAAACAATCCCATGAAAAACCATTAGGATTCCTAACCCAACAGTTTTTTTCCCAGTTTTTCCAGACCTTTTCATCCAAAGCTTCTGACAGGTGCGCACCAAATCGCCGCACGCACGGACACCCACAATCCTCACCTGGAGCGTCCTGACCCTCAAAAAATAGGGATTTTATGGAGGTTCTTATGTTTTTTTAAATTGGGATAAGCCGGATTTTCCGAGTTTTTATTGGGATAAGCCTGATTTTTTTTTGAGGATAACCGTTTGATTTTGTGTTTTTTTTTTAATTGGGATAAACCATGCTTTTTTGTGGGATATAATCTGATAATATGATATAACTATAGTTTTTGATGGGATTTCAAAGGAAGAAGTTTCGACCATGACGATGATCTTATGTTTGTTCTTCTTTTGATTGGGATTTACATCATATCCATTGGGAATCATCATATGTATTTATCATTGGATAACGTTATTATGGATGGTGGATATTCACCACAAACCCCAATGTATGTATTCTTTGGTGGGGTTAAACCATTACTGGTTGGTGGTATACCTACCCCTCTGAAAAATATGAGTCAGTTGGGATGATTATCCTACATATTATGGAAAATAGAAAATGTTTGAAACCACCAACCAGATTAAGAATTGGGGTTCATGGTGGATATATGACATGATATAACTATATAACTATACATAAGGGGATGTTTTTATGTAGTTGTTATTGGGATAACCATGATAATGGTATGGGCTTTGCGTGCTACTTTTGATTTTATGATATAACTGAATTATGATGATAGGATTTTTTTGATATAAAATGGATGATTGTGATATAGCGGATATTTCATGTGTTTCCAAATTGAGGTTTTCACGGGAAAGTTTGGTATCATCGATAGTAGGGATTTATTATGGATAGATAGTTAGATGGGGTTATAAATCCATCTCCTAACCCAAGGTAGGGATTGTTCATCAAAAAGTAGGATGGTAAGGGGATATGTCATGACCAGAGGGTATAGTTTTAGATTTCTTCCTCCAAAAATGGGATCAACGATGATTAAATGACCATGATTAATTGGTGTAACAATGAGCCGAACATATGATTTGAGTCTGAAAATGATGTCACCCTCCGCGGCCGTAGCCATTTGAATAGAGAACGTGTGTAAAAATTACCCAATGGGTTTGGGGCTAGCATAGTTTCAAACAAATCCAAATCTAGTGGTAATTCTGGCAACCCAATCCATAATTTTCTTTAGTAAACCTGCTAAGGACAAAATTCGTGACAAAAAAGCAGCAAAACGATCTCAATCACGAGGTATACACCCTTGATATAGAAGCAAACTATCAATTGAGCAGTGTTCAAGACCTGCAACTTTGTCCCTTTGCTCTGGTCGGTTGAGAACACGATTCCCCGTTGGATTATGACAACCCCTGATAAATATTGGATACGAAAAAAAAACCCTACAATCATCAACCAACCATCATTTATCAGTTATATCCACTTATTTCCCAAAATTTTATGGTGAAAACCATATGACATGACTACAATCATCAACCAAGAGGGGTAGAACGCAGCGACTGCGAAAAAAATGGTGGAGATTTCCATCAAAATTCAGGGGGATTTCCATCGACCCGACTTCCAAGATCCGAGAGAATTCGATCTGATCCAAGAAATACTTGGTCTATTTGTGAGGGAACAAGTCAAGAATTAGGGTAAGCCCAAGCCTAAACCCCGAACCCCCTAGTCCGTCCCTACACTTTAAATATCTTCCAAGAATCCAACATAACAATGGAAATCCATGGAATAAATGGCAGATTGGGAAAAGATACCCTCTGGTTATGTCAAAATAGCTGGGGAAAATTGCCATTTATGGTGGGTTCACCCATTAAAAATGGTGCTTTTCCATGGCTATGTTAGTCATAACCAGATGGTACACATTATAGAAATGATTTGCCTTTAAGAAATGATGATTTTCCACTTCGCAAACTGTAAACGTTTACCAGTGTAGAAATGGCAGATTTCCCGCTGTGCCTCCGAATTCGCCAGACTTTCAGGCCACACGAAGTTGGTTAGCCCTTCCTAGCGGCGCGGAAATCCGAGGAAGCGATTTTCGGGTGTAAACAAATGCTTGGTTTCTGGGTTTTTGTGGCTATATTTGGCTATGACATATCTATATCTATCATATTTGAAGCTGTATTTATCCGATTCTCCCAATGATTCCGATAGAACGGTGGATTTAATCATGTTAAAACCAACTTTATTACGATTTCCCATCTAATCCCATCTTATTTTTTCCACCATCATCATCATCATCATCATCATCATCATCCTCATCCTCACCCTCATCCCGCTTTTCTGCTGATGAAGACTCGCAATTTTCAAGGTTAGAAGTTGGATTTATAGCCCCATCGAAATATAGTTCTATCCACCCTGAAGCCCACTTTGATGGTTAATCCCAATTATTCCCAAAAAGACATCATTATCATCCTAATTGTTCCCAGAAAATCCAAGACATTGGATACCCTCCAGTAAATTAACATGACGACCCTGCCAGTCATCGGGGCTGGAAGATTAGTTTCCATTAAAAATTGGTTATTTTCAGGGTCGAACTGTGTATTTACCAGAGGGTACCCTCTGGTAAACTGACATAACTATGGAAAATCACCATTTTTCATGGGAAAATCCTCTATAAATGGTGATTTTCCATAGCTATGTATGTTTACCAGATGGTAGTATAACCCCATATCAACAACCAACAAGGGTTTCGAACATTCCTCAATAATGCTTTAGACTCCGCCGGGCCGTGGAGTGGCGCGCCTCTTTCGCAAGAGCCACTGCCACGGCTAATGGCACCGCATTCCCCGTGCCATTGAGGTAAAGCCCTGAGACGGGCTAAACCGACTTTCAACAAACATGGTGGCTGGTTGGTGGTTGAGCCCTAACCCTCTGAAAAATGATGGAGTGAAAGTCAGTTGGGATGATGAAATTCCCAACTCAATGGAAAAAACATGTTCCAAACCACCAACCAGTGGTGGGTATAATGTGGATATTTGGGATACTTAGTGGCGAAGTACCCACGGATCCTAAATAGGTTAATATCCCTGGTTATTTCAGTGGGACAAGTAGGCTGAATCCGCTTGTAGCTAGGGTTTTAACCTACTTACCAAGTGATGAGCCGCCAAGTCTCATTCTGCGTTTCCCAGGGATTTTTTAGATGCCCACCATATATACCAGGTGAGGCTCAACAGTTATATTTGTGGGTTTTAGACACATATACTAGTTCGTTATAGTTCCCATAAACCATGGGCACCTTATGAAGATGTAACCAACATCCTAAGGTGTGATGGAAGTTGCGCATGATCATGGGAACCTTAGATTCAATAGATTTATAGCAACTTCAAAAAAGATGCCGAAGTTTGTCTGTGCGTTTCCAAGGAATGTTGGCGATGTTTCCTCCAGCATTTCCAGATGTCCAACCTTTTGGCCTCTCCTTACGGGTTGGACGTTCATTCGAAGATCTACCGTGGTTAATCTTAGACGGGCCAATGTAAAACATATGGCTTAGTATCCCATTTATAGCAAACGATTAAGGTACTACGTCATCTATCGGAGGCTGAACAGGATATAGGAAACCGGACGTTTTGAACTACGAAATGTCAGGCTTGTTTTGGTACCCTCTGGTAATCAAATGCAAGGGAAATGCCTATAAATGGGCATTTTAATGGGAAAATCAAACATACTGACTTTCCATTGCCATGTTTGAGTACCAGGTCGGGTAACATTTTCCGACGTGGTCTATCTTCAGAAAAAAAGAGGTGACGCACCGGGTCCCAAAAACGAACATGGTTGCCTGAGGGAGTTGGTTATGTCATCTCCAAAGGCAAAAGTGCAGCCTGTGAAGCCTGTGAATGTCGCTAGTACCCTGAAACGATTCCGTTTTTGGTGCCCAATTTTCAGCCACACATCCCAGACTTTCCAATCTTTGCGAGTGACTTGTGTCTTGACCGTCGGGTGCTTGGAAAGGGAAGACCATATTCAGGAGAGAAATGCCAGGGTCGCAATGATTTTTATATCTCCTTAGTCCAGTTCGACCGGTTCCAGTCGGCCAGTCAAATCTGGCTGAACAATCAAGAAACATCATGCACACATCTTTCAAAATAGCCTCTGGTAAACGTTTACATAATTACATAACTATGGAAAGATCCACCATGCTTTTAATGGGTAAATCCACGAACTAAATGGTGATTTTCCATAGCTTTGTTTGTATGTTTACCAGAGGGTATTTCCCATTAATACCCCACTATAACGCACATTAAAATCCTATAAAATCACTATAAATCCCATTAAAATAGCTGTTATCATACTGCCAGCTATGGGGATGATTGCCCTTCCGTGAGGTCACATGGATCAGATTTTGATTCTGGATGACTTTCGCAACCAGATGTTTTTATCAATTCCAAGCTAAACACCACAAAACCCAAATACATTGGAATGAACTGCACTTGAAAATCCATCACTTGCAGATGATTATCATTTATAGACTGATTTTCCTCAAATTCTCCATTAAAACCTCTATATATTCCTAGGGCCTGGTTTTTTTTCCCCGATGTTCCTATTAAAACCTCCATTTATAGATGATGTTTTTCAGATTTTCCCCAGATTTTCCTCCAGAGGGCTTCCTGAAGAGGGCCAAGTGACGCTTCTGCCTCGGCACATAAGGCCTGGTAGTCGCTGAAGGACTTCACCAAAACCTCGATATTCCTGGGGAAAAAAAGGACCAAATCCGGAAAACTCTGAGAAACATCTTGGGGAATCGGATCATGGATTTTGGGGCTGCAAGCCCAACAAAACCACGGTTTTAAATCATGGGAACAATGGGAAAACCTTGGAAACATGATGATGAAACATGGGAAACATGAGGAAGAAATCCTGGAAACTTATGAATCATGGTGAACTCTTTGGGAAACTGATGATTCAAGACATTTTGAGAAACATCTGGGAGAGTTATCATATCATGCAACAACATATTTAACAACATATTTAACAACATATTCATAAACATTGGGAACAATTAGGGTGAACATCTTGGAACATTCTAATTCAAGATTGGCCATAGGGATAGAATGGGATTCAATGGGCGGTGGATGGTTGCACGAACCTGGTGGGCATACTGTGGCATCAGAATCTCATGATTTTCAGTGTTTCCTAGGTGTCTATCTTGGAAAGTTATGATTGAAGAAACGCTTGGACAAATAAACATGTGGGAAAATCAATGAAAATCACGGTGAAGATCGATCTGGACCTTTGTTCAATTCACCGACCTTTTTCAGATGGGGAAATCTTGCATGATATTTTCTGGTGATATTTGAGATCCAACCAGGCCAGGATTTTTGGGTCTGAAAATGGTGGATACAGTGATGAATCTGTGGACATTTTGGGGTAGACAATCCGTTGGGTTTTGGAGGTTCTCCATTGTCAACCGGTGCATGATTCTGATTCTGGGATAAGTGTTGGGTTGATGGATGTCCATGGTAGCATCGAACAGTCAGATGGCACTGCCAATCTCAGATACCCTGCACGAAATTCAATTCTTAGCTGGTTAATTCGTAGGTATTCCTATTTACTACAAAAGACTAGTTAGGATTAGTTTCTACCCATCTAAGATTGACCCAGAGGCTATACCATCATATATCCCAATAAATCCTATTAAATCCCATTAAATCCCATTAAAACACCATTAATTGGTAAATAGCTATGTTGGTTTACCAGGCCGGGTATATCACATTAATATACCCATTTAACCCAGAGGCTAAGGGTTTGTTTATCCCATTCAATCCCATAAGTCCCAATGTCAACCCTGGATTAATAAACCCCAAACGGTTGTTGAATTGGGTACCATAAAAAAGTATTGGATGAAATAACTATTGGAGGAATACCCCCCTAATTACTAAACCATTAAATCCCATTAAATCCCATTGAATCACCATTGAATCCCATATATACCTGAATTAAATAGGATTTAAGATTATTCAAGGCAAGAATTATCAGGATTAATCAGGGCAAAAGATTATTCAGGATTGAACTACCCATCCCGTTGGTTGCCCTAGATGAGTGCAACTAAACCTCCCTGATTGAGCGGTGAACCCCGCAACGTCGTCCCTTCATACAACGCCGTACCGTTGAAAACAGGATTCCCCCCTAGGGATGATGATAGTCGTCCCCATATACTGGAGAAAGTATCCTCTGGTAAACATACAAAAAAACTATTGAACATGGCCATAGAAATAGTTGATTTACAAATTAGACATGCTGGTTTTCCACAGTTATGTTAGTTTACCGTTTACCAGAGGGTAATTCCTTACGATCAGAAAAACCATCAGCACTGCTCAAATGAAAAGAAAGGAGACATCTACCAGAACCGGAAGTATGTGGTATTTAAAACCCCAGAAATCCAACAAAAAATGGACTTGTGATCTGGATATCAGAACCAGCAGCTATAGCGGGAATCACGGTGGAGTGTGTCAGGAATGCTACCAGGGTTGCTCCAGCCCAGGGTTGGGTGGTAAATTGGGCAAATATACAAGGTGGTGCCCCCGTTTGATAGCTAAGTTGGTTTATCACTCCAATAACTATGGTTTATAGGTGATATATCGAACTAGTTAATGGGATTATAAACCAACTTTTAACTTGGGGGGCACCACCTTGTAGAGGTGAAAGTGACCATTTGTTCTAGCCCCTTATGGCCACAGTCTGCCTATGGGTTGGAGATACAATTCGCACTGGGAAACACATCGAGAATATGATCAAGGGAAACCATGGTTTGTCTACCCTATCCAGGTCAAATGTTACCCTCTGGTAGGCAAAAATGGCACTAAACAATCCACCACTTATAGTTAAGTTTCCCACTAGGACCGCATCATTTAAGGCATTTTCCAGTTAGCCATGTTTGATGACACCAGAGGCTAATCGTTCTATGATGTTCCATTCCCTGATTGACGAAACCGACGCCACTAGCACAAGACCATGGATTTTCACCATGGCACCTGGCTGAGTTATAGTACCCTCTGGTTATTTAACAGTTCGCCATGGAAGCCATGGCCCATAGAAATAGATGGTTTACCGAACTTAAAAATGGTGGGTCTTTCCATGGCTAGGTTAAATAACCAGAGGCTAAATCCCTCGTTTTCATACGGCTATGGGGATGATTCCCCTTAAATTCACCATCATTCCAGTGAGGTCACATTGGGGTCATGATGATGGCAGAAATCCTGCACCAGTTGGTAAATGGCGTATCTCATTTCAATCCCATTATTTACAGTATTGAATGAAGTTACCAAAGTTACCAACTGGTGCAGGATTTCGCAACCATAAAAAGTGTGTTCAACGATAATCCACCATATTTCATGGTTATATCCCCAGTATATTCCCATTGTGTGGTGAGTAAAACAATGTCATAAACCACCCATTTGGGAATGGTAAACATACCACCTATAAAGATGGTGATTTGGGGGCTGGTTTATGGCATTGTTTTACCCACATTATATGGTTGGATCTTAATCATTTTTAATGGGTAAATCAACCATTTCTATGGCCTTTTTCAATAGCTATGTTTAATTGTCCATTAACATTAACCATTCATTAACCATTCATCACATTAACCTCTGGTAATTTAACATAGCTATTGAACATGGCCATTTATGGTGGATTCACCCATGAAAAATGGTGATTTTCCATGGCTATGTTAGTTTACCAAAGGGTAACCATGTATGGATCTTATCCATGAACCATTCACATCCCGGCAGGACGTCCTCATGTATCGAAGAGTAGTCTCGCTCATCAAATTACCTGGTCGCTGCTAGAGAAATTCAACTGGTTGGTACCCTCTGCTAATGACAAACAGTTTGCTATTGAAAATACCCCATTTATAGTTGATTTACCTATTCAAAATGTGGATTTTCAGTACTTATGGTAGTTTACCAGAGTGTAATTCATCGCCAATTTTGGATGGTTTTTGAAATTCATATCGCGGTTGTAATGTGAAGATACTCTCAAATCTTTTCTGGTTGGTGGTATACCTACCCGCCCCGCAGAAGAACACGGTAGCATAACCAAGAAGAAGAAAAAAACCAGCAACGTGTTTCTAGTGGCTCAATGGAAGTTGGAAAAACAAATACTGGTTGGTGGTATACCTACCCCTCTGAAAAATATGAGTTCGTCAGTTGGGATTATGACATTCTCAATATATGGAAAAATAAAAAATGTTCCAAACCACCAACCAGAATCAAATACAATAATTCACCAAAAAGCATTGAACATCGTGATGTCCTGCTATTTTAAGGTCAGTTATTCATTTTTGGGATATGAAATCTGATTTGAGAGTTGAAACAATTCCAGTTTTTTCATCAGATTCCGACTTTTCAAGGACCGTTCTTTGGACTACAGCTCATAAATTACACATGGACACTGCAAGGCTTGGCCGTGCTGAATCATCGAAAAGATGACCAAAACATCATTTCTATTTTGTAGGATAAGTAACTCAAGGTAAGATTATAAGGCCCATATTTATAGCAAATCATAAATCATGAGGCAATTCTGAAATGTGGATTAAACAACTTGAACTTCTAGTATCCCCCATTCTGTACATTGATAATTGAATTGGCTACCTATTCTGAAATATATATATATATCATCTAGCAGCCTCCTTGGTAACAGGCATGATTGGTGAATTCTATGGGTTTATAGTCTCCTTTCTTGATTGGTTTGTCTTTTCATTGAATTTTCTGAATTTAGGAATATAGTTTCCCTATGCAGTTTCACTATATAGTTTCACTTGTGAATGTAAAATTTACATGAAAATACAGCACGTATTTTCACAAGATATTTTCCTTGTCATTTCCTATGAAAAGATTCACCAACTCACCAAGTCTGCAGGCTTCGACCCCACAAAATCCAGTCAGAAGTAGGGTATATGGAGGTAATGAGGTATAAACATATAAATATTGTGTATATATATAATACTTAAGTACAATGTGTGTATATATAATATAAATATAATGCGGTACATACATATCATCAGACATATAGTATGGTATAATGATAAAATATGATAAATTCATGAAAATCATGGTCTGTCCCCATGTTCACCGTTCTTAATGACCTGTCACCACGACCATCTCCAGCTTTTCTGTGAAACACCAGTGATCTATGCTTGTGGGTAACTCCTGTGTCTGAAAGTAGGGGACCTGCAGTACCTCTGAAAGAATCTGTCTGGGTAAATTATAATCATTCACAGAGGTAATAAATGTAATAAGGGGTACTATCATGTACTATCTGGGTTCGTCCAATAAAATCTACCTGGGCAATCTATCAAAGTTAGTAAGGGGAATCATCTACCTGTTCGTTTACCAGAGTGTATAGATCTGGATAAATTATAATATATTGCACTAACCTGAATTAAGGCCATAAAAGGGGACGATTCCCCTTACTAACTATGTTTCCCGAATGCGTAGCAAGGGTTGCCGTTTCACTCTGGGGGTCTGGGGGCTGAGGGTGTGTTCGCTCGACGTTGCGTTTGTGGCCGCACCGTCCGCAACCGTTCGCAACCGTTCGCGCGATTGCTATATGGCCGTGCCTATGGTAAGTTCTCCAGAGGGGGTCATTTTTGGAGGTTTCACATGTGGCGTTGCTTCGTGTCGCGTGGCAGGCGTGGCACTTCGTGACATTCAGACGTGTTTTGTAACGTGTCGAAAATCGTTTTGTGTGGACGGCGCAATACCTTTGCGACGTTTTCAGAAGATGCGTTGCAGTTTTCGTGGCGGGCGCAGCACTTTGGACGTGTCCATCGTCATTTTGCGTGGCAGGCGCAGCACTTTAGACGTGCCGTATTGCGTGTTTTTTGCAAATCGCATTGGCAGGGCTGCGTCAAGTGGCGACAAGGTGCAAGTTCCGTGGCAGGCGTGGCAGTTTGTGAGATGTGCTGAAAAGTGACGGAAGCCTCGCACGAAACATTGATCTTGAGGTAGCAAAATTAAAGGTCCCTACGAAACCTTGTTGGAAAACATCGATTCTGAAACTACAAAGTGTGAAAATTGGAGGAGGTCTCGCACTAAACGCTCGTTTTTCTGCACCCACGAATCTCGTCTCGAATCTCTGGTTTTCCTGTGGCGTCGCCGTGTCTATGGAAGAAGCTGCAAAACCTCTCCTTTTCGAAGGTTTCCAAGCAGGTTGTCATGTCATTTTGCGTGGCAGGCGTGGCACTTTGTGACGTTCCAACCTGTTTGATAACGTGTTGAAAATGTCAAAATTGGAGAAAGTCTCGCACGAAATGCTCGTTTTTCTGCACCCACCTGTCTCGTCTCGAGTCTCTGGTTTTCCTGTGGCGTCGCCGCGTCTATGGGGGAAGCTCCGCACTCCACACTCTACACTTTACACTCCACACTCCACAGTTTACACTTTAGACTCCACACTCTGCACTTTAATTGCACTCCAAACTTTACACTTTGCACTTTACACTCCTCACTCCTCACTTGAGACTTTAAACTCCACACTCCACACTTTACACTCCACACTCCTCACTCTACACTCTACACTCTACACTTTACACTCCACACTCCACACTTTACACTCCACACTCCTTACTTTACACTCCACACTCCATACTCTACACTTTCCACTCTGCACTGCAGACTGGTAACAGGGGAAATATGTACAAGACTGTTCAAATAAACTATTGCAGAAAGGTGTTGTGCGTGACTGCATATCCATGTGTTTTGACATCTGTACCATTAACATTCGGGTTCGTGGGCTGCATCTTTTTTTTCGTGAGGGAGAACAGTGAGCTCGTGATGGACTTTACCCAGATCATTCACCAATATTGTGGGGAAAACAATGTCATAAACCACCCATTTGGGAATGGTAAACATACCACCTACCAGTAGTACCGCACAAGGCGGTGGCGGAAGTTTCAAAAATGGAAAACCTATAGGAGAGGCGAGTTGGTGTGGCGCAAAAATGGCAGAGCGAACCCACTGATGGATTGAAAGGTGGTTGAGTGTTTCTGCCTTTCTGTCTCTCTTTTTCTCTTTCTCTCTGTGTCTCTCTTTCGCCATCTATCTACAGAGTTACCTTTCTAGCCATCTACCTATCTACCTGTCTATTCATGTATCTATCGTTCGATTTGTTTATTCACCTAACTATTAAACTGTCCATCTTTCTGTCTATCCAGCCATTCATCCATCCACTTACTTCTCCGTGTTAGTTTTTTTCCCGTCCATCTCTTCATCGATCCATGTCCACAGCTATCCATCACCATGTTCTTCGTTCTGTTTCTCTATCACACTTGACTGCTTGTAGCACCGCGATCTGCTTCCAAGAAACATGATCCCCTGTACCTTTTCTACAATCCACTGAAACAACCCAACCTCGGATGCAACAGCGGCAGCAAAATAGGAAAAAAAGGATCCCAGTACTAGTGTGGAGCTCCTCTCTGCTGCATCCCACGTTTATCTGTCGATGCATCTGTCGATCAATCTATCTATATGTCTGTGTATCTATCAATTTTTATCTATCCTTCGATCTAACTATCTCTCTATCTATCTGTCTATCTGTCTATCTATCGATCACATTCTCTCTCTCTCTCTATATATATGTATATCTGTCTGTCTGTCTGTCTCTCTGTCTATCTACCTGGCTATGTCTCTACCCATCTATTTCTCTATTTGTCTTGGTATCTAACTATCTGTCTATGTGTCTATGTATCTATCTGTCTATCTCTCCATCTATTTCTCTCGCTGTCTCTCTGACTATTTATCTATCTCTGTCCATCTATCTATGTATCTATCTATCTGTCGATCTATCTGTCTATCTATCTGTCTGTCTATCTATCTGTCTGTCTATCTATATATCATTTTTTTTACTTGAGAGCTTGATGCACCAAACAAGTCTGCGAGACTTAAGTTGACAACATCAAGGACGAACCACTTCTGCGAAACTTCCTCCAATAATGGAAAGATCAGTGCTGCATTCACACCCTCGTGCCAATTCGTTCTGCGATTTTTCTGCCCCACCTGTCTAAAGTACTGCGGCTGCGCAAAATCCTCTTAGCAAACCTACACTTCTGATACTTCAAAATGTAACCCCTCTCAGGCAATCAGCGCCCTGATCTCCCAACCTCTCTCATCAACATGTCTTTTGTCCTGCGCCTGCCACGGAAAATGCGTCTTTGCAGATCATCCGCAAATGTCCCATGCCTGCCATCTTTTGTCGAAATGCTGCCAAACCCTCATGTTTTGCGCACTTTTGACAAGATCCACGATCTCGTGCGCCTGCCACGCGAAACGACATCTGCGCTTCCAAAAGTGGTCCGAACCCCTAGTGTTTTGAACATTTTTACTTCGAAATGTCCTTCGCGCCACAACGGCGTGCACTTTTTCAACATCTCAACTTCCAAAAGTGGTCCGAGAATGGTGTGCTTTGTACATTTTTACTTCGAAATGTGCTTCGCGCCACAACGGCGTGCACTTTTTCAACATCTCAACTTCCAAAAGTGGTCCGAGAATGGTGTGTTTTGTACATTTGACTTCGAAATGTGCTTCGCGCCACACCGGCGTGCACTTTGGAAAGATTAGTGCTGCATTCACACCCTCGTGCCAATTCGTTCTGCGATTTTTCTGCCCCACCTGTCTAAAGTACTGCGGCTGCGCAAAATCCTCTTAGCAAACCTACACTTCTGATACTTCAAAATGTAACCCCTCTCAGGCAATCAGCGCCCTGATCTCCCAACCTCTCTCATGAACATGTCTTTTGTCTTGCGCCTGCCACGGAAAATGCGTCTTTGCAGATCATCTGCAAATGTCCCATGCCTGCCATCTTTTGTCGAAATGCTGCCAAACCCTCATGTTTTGCGCACTTTTGACAAGATCCACGATCTCGTGCGCCTGCCACGCGAAACGACATCTGCGCCTCCAAAAGTGGTCCGAACCCCTAGTGTTTTGTACATGTTTACTTCAAAATGTGCTTCGCGCCACAACGGCGTGCACTTTTTCAACATCTCAACTTCCAAAAGTGGTGCGAGAATGGTGTGTTTTGCACATTTTGACTTCGAAATGTGCTTCGCGCCACAACGGTGTGCACTTTTTCAACATCTCAACTTCCAAAAGTGGTCCGAACCCGGTGTGTTTTTAACATTTTGACTTCGAAATGTGCTTCGCGCCACAACGGCGTGCACTTTTTTGGACATCGCAACTTCCAAAAGTGGTCCGGCGCCGAGGTGTTTTGTACATTTTGACTTGGAAATTTGCTTCGCGCCACAACGGCGTGCAACTCTTCATCTCTCATCTCCCCAGATGGCTCCGCACCTGCCGCTTTAGCGAGCCTACTTTTCGACCCTCCGGAGCCCCAAATCATTGGAAAAACACTGTGTTTCGCGACTTTCCTACCTTTTCGCGCATCTGCATCTGCTTTCTTCTGACTCTTCTTTCTTCTGATCTTTCTCTTCTCTCTGCCTCTTCCCTGCTCTGCTTTTCATCTGTCCATATTGTCGGAAGTTTGACTTCTAAACTTCCTTCGATAAAGATGGTGATTTGGGGGATGGTTTATGGCATTGTTTTATCAGCAATATATGGTTGGGTCTTGAGTCTTAACCCTTACCCTCTGGTAAACATACAAGAAACTATGGAAAGATCCACCATGCTATTATAATGATTATGGGTAAATCAACGAACTTTCTATGGCCATTTTCAATAGCTATGTTTAATTTATCCATTAATTAACATTAGCCATTCATTAACCATTCACCATTAACCATTCATTACATTAACCATTCATGTATGGATCTTATCCATGAACCATTCATCATCATCCCCAGAGGGTAAAACCATCACTTCCAATGCCGACCGTCCCAACCCTGGCTCGAAGTCGACGGAAACCGGTGTTCTGTCGCATGGTTGCCTTCGGCTGGACCACCATTGAAGTGGAGCTCCCACGCACTTAATTTCTAATCTAAAAGCCCGGTCCTGATACGGAGCCTGTTTGTCCTTGGAATGCTGCACGCCACCCAAGCTCGTGACGAAGCCTGTGAGGTGGATAGTCTCCCTGGCAAAACACGGCCCAGCACCCCACCCCTCAACTTGAAGCTTTCCCCGCCTTCCAGTACGCAAGGTCTTGGAAGTCCGTCAGCAACAAGAACTCTGCAGGCTCTATGTCCACGCTTGCAGGCTCCTTCTCCTTCAAGACAATCTTCGTGCTCTCGTTCCCTTCGAATTTCATCACTTTCCGTTCTGCGTCCATGAAACCCGCAACTTGCAAAGATGCCTTTTCCAACCTGGTTATATCCTGATTATATACTGATTACATGGTATATCGGTATATCGGGACTAAACGTATATAATGGTTTATGATGAAGCTTACCACATCTTACTACGTTCGATCCCTCACCTTTCTCATTACCCTCAAACGTGGCGCGGGCTGGAAAATCCCCCGAGCAAACCCTTCGATGTTTTTCCCAGCGGACTAAACTTCTACAGGGGATATCCCAGCTAGACATGTTTGATTACTGGAGGCGGTACGTGGCAAACTCAATTGAGTTTGATGTTGTTCTCCCATTAAAATCATTCAACACCTCTATTTAGTTCCGGGATTCCTCTATTTATAGTAATGTAGGTAAACAATGTAAGACGCTATCAGCGACCCTGCCTTCTTCGTGGCCGAGCCGCCCAAGGTGAAGGAGGTGCGCGTCGCCTCGAAAGGGACCTGACAGGTGGCAAGCAAACTATATTATAATCGGATTAACGCGACGGGATGTTATCCCAGAACCATCCAAAACTGCGGGGCCTCCACCGCCTCCTGGAGCTCGTCCAGCAGTGCCTCATTTTGGAGGACGTAGTCCTGTCAGGACGGGATGTGGCAGCCGCCCTACTTTCCAAGCCCGAAAGCAAGCAGCCGTGCCTCCAACGGCACTGGAACCTGGCATGCAGCAAGGCACACGACGATTCAGGTGCACACGCCGGTGCACCATTCGAAACGCGCCTCCTCCAACGCAACGTCGGCCCAGCTGCCCTTGAACAAGGTCACGTCGCCAATGCAAGCCATTGCCTGGGGGACCGGCGATAGATATACAGGAAAAGAATACATAAGCGGAGCACAAAAGTGGAAGCTTTGATCTGAGGCGCGGACAAAGGAGCAAGGGCACTTGAAAGTCGCTGAAAGGCAGAAAGCTTTAAAGCTTGGAAATTGCTGCGGGCAGGTCACACATCTATGCAAAGGTTCAACATGCGACGGTATCAACATGGCTGATGCACTGCAGTCGACACATGGAAGCTTTGAGGCTTGGACGCGAGGCAAAGATCACGCGTGGGGAACGAGGCAGTGGCGTCGAAGGCGACGGGCCTGGCCCGGCGTCACAAAACAGGCAGAATTAAGCCTATAAATGGATAGTGACTTTACACCGGTGCATTGAGCGTTCGTACTGAAGGAAGGTTCTTTGCAGCATGTACAACAGACATCACAAGGTGTCCGAGCGCGGCGCCTGACGCGCGGGGATGAATGCAGACCAGAGACGCGCGATATTCCGATACCTGAGCCGGCAGGCCGAAAGTGTCCAGGACCGCAAATGTTATACTGTTATAAAGCTGATGAGGAGAACAACAGGGGCTCTCTCTAACACCCCCCATCCCCTTTGTCTCTATATAGGTGGAACTTTGGTTATTTCTTATTCCCACTGCGGCCTTCTCTCCAGTGGCTTCAAAAAAGGGGTCTGTACCACCAAAGAAAAACAAATTGACTGGTGCAGACTAGTGCCGACTCTTGCAAGCCCCAGCGGCGCGGAGAAGAACGCCGAATATCGGAAGATAGCGCGCAAATATCGAATATAGCGGCAGATCGAATAGTGGCATCGAGAATAATAAATGTATCAATGATGCAGACCAATGCAGACCAATGCAGATTAATTGCAGCTAATAATGCATGCAGAGCTGCCGTCACATCCTCCATATCGACGCGGCTGGCGCGTCGGATTCGACGCACGGCCACGGCTTGGCCGTGGCAGGAAGCGAGCGAGGACCGGGAAGGCTGGACCCAGGTGATTCATGTGGATATTGCTGGACAAAGGCATTGCATTGCATTCATTCGGTATATACAGAGAGTATCCCACATCGCAGTGCTTAAAAAAAAGATGATATAGGCGATTTGTGCCCCGAACTGTGAACGCCCGCGGTAAAATTTCTCGGTCATCTGCTTGGGGGTATTTTGTATACTGCATACAAGCATTTGTCCAGCAATATGTCATGGCCCCAAATTATGTGTCGTAAACTGCAACAACATGCAACAAATATATATCATCCCAAAGCAGGGAAACCCAAAAATTGCAAAGCCTGGTTATCGAAGTGGTCTTCTGGGGCTCAACCCTTTCATGTCTCATGGCAAAAAAACGGGCATAGTTTCGAGATTGGAGGAAAGAGGAGCTGAACAGAAGTGGAGGCGAAAGGAAGGAATGGGGTGCGCCCTCCCTACACCGGGCCCCCAAGAAAGGTCGGCGTTCCACATCAAGGAACCTAGAAGAAAGACGCCTAGAGCAGGGCCACCTGCTCCGAGCATCCTTCCCTAAGGCTCGTTCGATGCTTCCTGCCGACCGGGCGCAGGAAGAAAAAAAAATTGGCAGAGGTTATCATCTTTTCTTTCTTTTCTTCCTAGGGGGGGGGGCCGAAGGCCTGGGGGGAGCCCAAAGGCGTTCATGGATCATAATCACTATTAATCAGTATTAATCACTATTAATCACTATTTACCCACTCATAATCACTATTGGCAATCCCATTACCCTTTGGTACTTTAACACAGCTATTGAAAATGGCCATTTAGAGTGAGTTTCCCCATTAATAGCATGGTGGATCTTTCCAGTTCGTTGTTTGTATGTTTACCAGAGGGTATGTCATCATATATCCCATCAAATCCCATTAAATGCCATTGAATCACCATTGAATCCCATTAAAACACCATGAATATGGGGAAATAGCTATGGAACATCCCATGAAAATCCCATGAAACCCCAAGGCGAATTCCTAACCCTGCCACGGTTTTTTCTGTTTCCTAACGGGGCTCCACGAGATCCTTGCCGGCCGCACCTCCATCTTCTCGTGCGTAGGTGAGCTGAAAGCTAAAGGTTCGATACCTCGGCGAGGCTCGAAAAAACACGAAGAAACCATGGGAAAATATTGATGGAACATCTGAATGGAATGGAACATCGATGGAAAATCCACGGAAAAACCACTGATAATCAGTTTTTCCGGGAAAATCTATGGAAAACCCAGGGAAATCAACGCAAATTGATTCAGAAAGATGGACAATTTGAGTCATCATGTCTTGCTGAATAATGTCAAGCCCGGATTACTAAACTATGGTTTATCAATTAGGAACATGATAACTGATGGTAACATAACGAGCTCGTATATTCTATTGGTGAAATCACTACTAGGGTGAATAATGTCAAAACCCTGGTATTTCCCCAATTGTGATGATCTGATACTTTTTTATGGTACCATCCCAATTAAACAGCTGCTTGGGGTTTATTAATCCAGGGTTGACATTACAAAATTGATAAAAAAAACAAGTTTGGTTCAATGGATTGGTTTCAGGGAAAATTTACAGGAAAGCCCCATATTTAGTGGGAAAACCTATGGTTTCCGGTGAAGATTTTCCCAACAAAACCAATCCATTCATTGGTTGACGTCAAACATCTTCAAGTTACCCTCTGGTTATTTAACATAGCCATAGAAAATCACCACTTTTCATGGGAAAATTCACTATAAATGACCATTTTCAATAGCAAACTGTAACAAATTACCAGAGGGTAAAAGAACGGTTCCAATTCTGAGCTGTGGATCGAGGTCTATGGGAGCTACGAACTGGTTGTTTCGTGGCAACCATTCCATTATATCCATCATATCATGTATTGCTATAAAATGGGATGGAAACCATATATCTCATTTTAAAAACCATCATATCATATATTGCTACAATGTAATATCATATAGTTGGTTATCATATACCTATATGATATTACATTAGCAATAAATGATATCATAGCAATAATGTTATAGTAAATATCATCTATAGTGGGTTGTAATATCATTGGTGTTTGAAAGTGACATTTCCATACCATGATGTTTCTATCCCATTATCATATACCTAGAGAACCAGTTGTGGTATGAAAGCTGTAACTTTCAAAAACATCTGTCGATGGGCCCAAAAACGGTCGATCCCTTGAACACAACACGAAGCACCTGTGGCTTTTGTTCCCATTTTCCACTTGCGTTTTCCGCAAGTTACCCGCTGGTTATGTCAAAATAACTATGGAAAATGGCCCAGTCGAAAAAGTGGATTTACCCAGTAATAGCATGGTGAATCTTTCCAGTTCGTTATGTTAATTGCCAGAGGGTACAAGGCCCATAAGTTTGCTTACCACCGATTTAAGCCATTCCACCGTCATTTTTCTAAATCAAATCCTTAAATTCATATTTTTTGGTTGGTTAAATCACCATATATATATATATATGTATATATATATATGTATATATATATATATACGTATATTATATATATATATACAGTGTATATAAATATATATATATATATATACAGTAAATAAATATATATATATACACATACATTATATGTATGTAAAAAATATATATATATATATATAAATCTTAGAACTGATAGATTTTCCTCAAAAACCTGGGAACATTATACCAGTTCTACATAATTCTACCATAATTTCCCAATGCATATGTATCTATATATATATATATGGAGAATTGTGGTAGATGTCCATATATCCTGGAGAAGAAATACCAGAGAAAAGGCAATGATAAAACATTTTCATGGATGAATTTCCTATCTTAGGATATGTTTTCTTGGTTAAGTCACCATAAATAACCCATTAAATCACCATCAAATCACCGAGAAATCCCATGAAAAACCAGCGGTTTTTTCATCGATAAAATAGGCCATGAAGTCACCATTGAACCCACCTGGTTGGTGGTGCAATGTGCACATCTTGAAAAATGATGGAGTTCGTCAATGGGAAGGATGACATCTGGTTGGTGGTTGAGCCCTAGGGGATTGAATGGGATATAATCTGGTTGGTGGTTGAGCCCTACCCCTCTGAAAAATGATGGAGTGAAAGTCAGTTGGGACTATGAAATTCCCATGTATTATGGAAAATAAAACATGTTTGAAACCACCAGCCAGCCACATGTTTCATAAATAGGCCAGAAATCAGCCAAAAACTCCCTCCGTTGCAAGCGACAGTTTCAGACCTGACTGCAACCTCCGACCAGCTGGGGTGCCGTCCTCGGCCATCCAGAAGTTTGGGATCACCAATTTAGGTAAGTCCTAAATATTATCATTATATATTTATCTGGGTAAATTATAATGCTTTCCCATATGGAGGGTTCCATAGTCATGGGGGCTGTGTTATAATATAATTTATACCACCAGTAATAACTATAGTTATAATCTAAATATATCATCATATATTTATATATGAAAAATATGAAATATTGTAATATTTATTTTGGTACTGTATTCATATTTAAGTACATATGAATTTCACCAATGAAATGATTTCACAAAAAAGGGGTACCCCTTTATCGCTCGCTGGATGGTTTATTTCATGGAAAATCCTCTACAAATAGATGATTCCGATGCAACTTCGTAGGATGATCGTGATATTTCACTAGCCTGAATTGTTGGGCCATAAAAGGGGATGATTTCCCTAAAATAAACCATGATTTCCAGTGAGGGAGAGCGGTGAGGTCGTTATAATTTACCCAGATTTATATGTAATTGTTTATATTTATATATAGTGTTTATGATCCATCAGCCATAGTTCACCCCATGTATGATAGGGAAATATTCCATTCATCTACCCTGTGGTAATGACTAACAGTTTGCTATTGAAAATTGCCCATTTAGAGTTGTTTTACCTACTAAAGATTGTGATTTTCCATAGCTATGTTAGTGTACCAGAGGGCATGCATTTATATATGATTGTATATATTTTTAAAAAATATCATAAATATCACCTATCATTTGCGATATACTTATCATATATAAATCCTCATTTTATATAGATAAGTATCATATATTGTATAATTTACAAATTAGGATACATGGGACACATGGGATACTTATACTTATTATTATTATTTACCTATATCACCTTATACAGTTTGGGATACAATATTTGGGATATATAAATCCTAATTTTATATAAATATTGGTGATAAATATGAATATTGTATTTAAATAAAGATTTAAATATCAATATAAATACTGTACATAAATCCTCATCTTCTATAAATAATGTATCATAAATAAATCATCACGTATATCATATATAGTTTTGGATACCAAGTATTTCATCCTCAGCCAATTTAGTCCTGTCAAAAATCTCAAGTTGTCATACTTGCCCATATGCGAACCATGGTGCTGGAATAGGCACGCCAACATTTGCCGGAACAAAATCACCAAGTCATGTAGGTCAATATACCAGCACCATGGAGCATATGGGTTGATGGATTCCCATCGTTGGATACTGGTGGATCAAAAACCATGATCCAACCATTACTGATATATTTTATATTATTCTCTAATACTTGGTGGATTATCCCACTACATAGGTTAGTCAGTAGGTGAGTTCACCCGAGTTTTTTCCGATGATCACCCTACTTATTGAAAACATATCCTTTGATAATTCGATTTCATAGTGATTATGGCCATAATAACCATAATTAAGGGGATTTTTAGCCGCAGTTTTTTCAGTGTATTGAAAAAACGAGGGATAGAACTCTCACCTACTTCCGATCCGCGGGATGTCTGAGCAAATTCTGCTTACAGGGACAAAGTAGATGACAGTCAAAGGCCTCTTAAGGGATAAATCATGTATACATGCATTATAATATAATTTATAATATATGATTTAATAGTTTATATTAGTATATTATACATGCAAAAAATGGATAAAACATGTATACATGTAATCCACTTTGTCATGGATAAATCATGGATAAATCAATGGGATTATGTTATCATGATGAAATCATGCCACATTAATTGTGGATGAAATTTTGCTTCACCATGCTTGGATAGTTTACCACTCAACTGGTGGATCTCCTCCACAGATGCTGGGCATCACTCAATGAATCTTGACACGCGAACGAAGACTACCCGGCCTGGTAAACATACATAGATAGCTATTGAAAATGGCCATAGAAATAGTGGATTTACCCATTAAAAATGATGGATCTTTCCATAGTTTTTTGTATGTTTACCAGAGGGTACACAGAATTCACCTTACAAAGATACAACAAAAATCATTCAAGTTTAGAATAGTGGTCAAAGTCCAGGATGATTTTTCCCCTTTTCCACATGTCTTGAAGGGTTTATTCTATATGAATTCGCCAAACCTTGCAGGGCACCTCCAAGACCAATCCCAACTCTTCAAGACTATGAAGGTCTCCTGGAGCCAGTTTCAGGGCTTGGCAAATGTCCCATGTTTTAGGGATTTTGAAGGAAAAACATAGGGAAAACCCACAGGAAAATGAGGGATTTCATGGCATTTATAGCAGATCTATGATTTTGACCAATCAAATATGGC